GCTGTGTGTGCCTGGTTGCTGGTAGGATGAACATCATTACATCAAATATCAATGAAAACAAATGAAAAAAAGGGAGGAGGCTTCTTACTTTTACTTACCTGGTAAGTACTATTACCTGGTAAAGATATGTAAAGTCATTTCTCCTACTATATCCCTTGGCCTTCATCTCAAGCTTCAGTCTGTTGAATATATCATCTCTTTCAGAGGTGAGTATTCAGCAGGTTGTGACCAGTTCTGGAGAAGTGGCAGCGGAAATTTTGAGTAGTTCAAAGAATCAGCAAATACCACCCCGCCCCCATCTATTCTCAGCCTCCCGGGTCCCAGCTGATCGGCTGGGTCTTCTTTTGTTGCCCTGCACAGGAGAATGGAGCTGGAAAGCAGGTTAGTGGGGTGGGGAGGGAATGAGGATTTTGCAATAAGCTTCCCCCAGGAGTGGGGAGGGAATGGGGATTTTACAGTCTCCTTCCTCCCCACTAATCCCTCCCCACTACAATCTTCAGAAGGTAGACCAGAGGAAGGATCTGCTGGCATTCTATTTTCCATCTCCATTTTGCTGCCATTGGGAAAATGGAAGGCTGAAAGAACAATGCTAATCATGTTCAGCATTGTTTCCAGTGGCTCTAGAAAGTGTATTTTGAGATGACATGACATGACATGACATGATATGACATGTAGGTAGGTAAGTTGGATACATTCTTGACTTTGATTGCAGGTAGTCCTTGACTTATGATCTCCATTGAGCCCAAAATTTATGTTGCTAAGTAATTGTTAAGTGAGTTTTGCCCCATTTTACGACCTTTCTTGCCACAGTTGTTAAGTGAATCACTGTAGTTGTTAAGTGAGTAATGCAGTTGTTAAGTGAATCTGGCTTCCCCATAGACTTTGCTTGTCAGAAGGTTGCAAAAAGTGACCACATGACCCTGGAACACAGCAACCGTCATAAACACGAGTCAGTTGCCAAGCATCTGAATTTTGATCATGTGACCATAGGGATGCTGCAACGGTCATAAAGGGTGAAAAATTATCATAACTTACTTTTTTCAGTGCTGTTGTAACTTTGAACAGTCACTAAACAAATGGTTGTAAGTCGAGGACTACCTATATTTTTTATTCTCCTCTTGCCTTTTCCTGCCTTTTGCCCCATTTTTGCCAATGAATTGTTTTGATATTTGCTGACATTTAACAAATAAATAAAACAAATATTTGCCTGCTGCTTTAGTGGCCTATGCACTTGCTCTTATCTGAATATAAGAACTGACTGGGAATGTGCTGGGTGCAAACTAACCTGGAAATTATCCACAGAAATTTGGATAATTTTATTTCAGCACTTTAAGGGCATCCATTATTTTGGAGAAAAAATAGGTTATTTTACTGCAGTTATTAAGAAGAGAAGAAACAGATACAGCTCAGCAGTAGGGGTAGGAACCTTCATGTGAAAATTGTTTTTTGTTAATTCCAGGATGAATGGGGAGAGGTAGAATAGTTTGCTTTGATAATCACCAAATAAAACCACAACAAAAGTAGGATTTATGAACTGCAATCCATAGTCCAGGATATCACCCGTTCAATGCTCATTAATGTTTTCCTCGCCATTAGTTCTAATTTCTATAATCCTCTATCTTCATTGTTTATGATTACAGAAGTGCTAATTTCACTACATGTGCATTGATTGATACTAGTGCAATTTAAATGAAATGCAAATATTTTAGAGAATGAATAGATAATTGCAGGAGACTGGAAAAGAGTGAGATCATGAAACTGCAAATAAAGAAGCCGTGTGAAGAAAGAAAGTTTTAGGGTTGGCAGTAAGATGAGTAGAAACCAAGAGATTCTAACGGAATGTTCTCTGTAAACTAATTAACTGGCCAAGAGTTCAAAGAATAGTATTTTTGTATGCAAGCTATGCTTTGCAGCAAATAATAGATTGTATGATGCAATTAGGAATATGGATCTGAAAATTATTTATCAAAACCTAAATAGTTATGATAGATGGGCAAAACTAAGTGAATAATTGTAAGTTATCGATAAATGGCAAAAAAAAAACAGAACAAGTAAGATATTTTATTTAATATTTGTTAAAGATGGAGAGATGGAAAAAAATAAGATGTTCAAAATGGGGCAAAAATTATAGTGTGGGATCCGTTGTGAGAAAATAATATTAAGAGAAGCAAAAATGGCTGTAAGACTTACTAAAACAGGGAGTCCCCAATCCATGGCCCACAGCCCACTACCTGGCCATGGCCTGTTCAAAACTGGGACAAATGGGCAAGCACGCATATGTGAAGCTCCACTCGCATGAGCAGTGCACAAGTATGTGCACTCGCGTGAGCGCAAGCATCCTCTGCTCATTTGTGTGCAGACGTGGTATTCAGCAGGTTCTGACCAGTTCTGGAGAACCGCTAATGGAAATTTTGAGTAGTTCGGAGAACCGCCAAATATCACCTCTGACCGGAGATTTTACAGTATCCTTCCCCTTCCATGCCCACCAAGCCACGCCCATAGAACTGGTAGTAAAAAAAAATTGAATCCCACCACTGCTTGAATGGTCCTTCAAGCAAAACACCCAGCACTCAAGTGCCCTCTGCTCATGTGGGTGGAGCTTTTCTCACGCAAATGTTTGCCGCTCACACAAGTGGCGCTTCGCACATGAGCGCAAGCACCCTTCGCTCCTGCATGAAGTTCCATATGCCTGAGTGGAGGGCGCGCTCGCACAAATGGAGCCGTGCACTCACATACCTTGCCCACCCACGCCAGGCCAGAGCCACCAAGCTGGGAAAAGTTGGAGATTGCTGCACTACAAGTAAAACTCAGCTTGAAATTTAACTTTTTAACTAAATAGATCAGCTAATCCAAAATAGAAATCCTAATGGACCTGCTGAATCCCTTTCTCTAAAGCAGTTCCTCAGCCTCATAACTTTAAGATGCGTGGACTTCAATTCCTAGAATTTTCTAGCTAGCATTCTGTTGAAGTCCAGGTGTCTTAAAGTTGCCATGGTGAGAAAGACTGCTCTACAGCTGAGGTCCCCAACCACCAGGCTCAGCCCACTACCAGGCCTTGAGCCTTTCAAAACCAGGCCACGGAAGTGGCGAGCGAACGAGCGCGTGTACATCCCCATCCATGCGAGCACATGTGCTACATTTGCACGAGCAGCGGCTTGTGCAAATGGAGCTGCGTGTGCGATTGCCCACCGCGCACACAGAGCCATCCCCTCCCTTCACCCCACCCCACCCCACCTGCCCCCATCACCACCGGTCTGCAAAGCCGAAAAGGTTGGGGAACTCTTTTCTGCAGTGATTTCTCTTCCGACCCTTTTGGTTAATAGGAATTGCCTCACAGAACTCTAGATGCAGGCAAATGCCTACAGGATATGTTACCCTGAGCTCCTGCTGGAAAAAAAATATGTTTCAATACTCTCCAAATTGCAGAACCACATTCATTCTCTTTTCAGATGAATTTTCCCAAGTAATGTTCGCAAAACTAGGAAACCAAAGGAGATCGCTGGAATTCTGGCTCCAGGATTATCACTGTCGAAAAACAATATAATTTGCGGATAGAATGTTGCTTTGAAAAAAATGACAAATGCCAAAGACTCAAGGGATAAGAATGGGATGAGTTGGCCAAAATGTCATTGTTTCATTGTGTTTCATAAGAATTGAATACATGTTCCCCCAAGAGTCAATGATTCCAATTTCTTTTGTTTCTTCTAAATAGGTGTATGTGTATGTGTGTGTGTATGGCAAATTAGGTGAAAAATATTCCTCATTAATTATTATTTGGAAGTAGCTTTGATGTGTAACGCTGAGACATTTTTTCTTAGAACTGTACATTAAAATATTTACATTCTAAAGCAAATTTATAAAGAACAGATAAACAAATTATTTGGACCATAAGGCAGTATAACTAAATTAAAAGTGGGAAGGAAGTCCCTTACTAGGCATTGAAGTTACTGATTTCACTTACTTGGAATGTAGAATAAGTTTTCAGATGTTGGTTTTTCAAATCTTTCCTGCTCAGTTTCAGAGTGGGTGGTTGTTTCCAAATCCTAATCTGTCAGCATCACTCAATGAATAGGCAAAGGCTCAGAGATATGTTAAAATGTTTATTGATTATACAAATTGGAATAATTCACACATGGAAAAGCTTAGTGTTTATATATCTGAGGAAGTTCCTGCAGTAGCTGGCACATTCTCCTTAAATACAGTAGAAATATTCTGATTCTTAAAGGGGAATTACAATTCTGCATGGGAAGACAGGTGCCTCAACAGAGTAAGGAGCTGTTACAACAGGAATCTTTGGCTGCTTTGCTCAGATTCTTGAGCTTTTGTGCAAGATAGTTTTGGGTGCTATTCGTTAATGTTCTTATCAGATTATAGATTAACAGAGTTGGAAGGGACCTTGTAGGTCATCTAGTCCAACCCCCTGCCCAAGCAGGAGACCCTACACGATTTCTGATTAAATGACAGTCCAATCTCTTCTTGAAAGCTGCCACAACTTCTGAAGTCTATATAAGAATCTTTTAGATAAGTACAAATTTCTCAGCTAATCTACCTCAGCAGTGTTGATGTTATGGCTAAGTAGGCCCTGTTGAATCTGTTGGGATTGTTAAAAAGACCTTAAAGCTGGAGGATAAGTCCAGACAAACACAAGCTGGCAATCAAGATTGCTTAGACAAGTCCCTGCAGTTTTCTTGGCAAGATTTTTTTTTTCAGAAGTAGTTTGCCACTGCCTCTTTGTTTGAGCTGAGAGAAATTGACTGGCCCAAGGCCACCTAGTTGGCTTTGTGGCTAAGGCAGGGCTAGAATTTACAGACTTCTGATTCCTACCCTGATGCCTTAACTAGTACACTAAACTGGCTGTCAGATTATGGAACCCTGTTTAATTCTCCAGATAGCTCCCAAGTAAGCAACTCCTTCATTTAGGCTCCTACATTTCAGACACCAGAAATGGAAGAAAATGTCCATCGTCAATAATTCCTCACCATCACTTTTTCTTCTTCAGCTTTTCTAGCTAGCTCTTTTCCTTGTGTCATTTTTTTTTCTGAAACCATTCCAATTCCATTCAGTGTATTCTCACTTTCTACACTTCTCATCACTTTCCTGTTCATTCCCTTACTAACTTCCCTACCTTTGTTTGCTGCAGCTCTAGGCAAAATGACATGTCCATTCTGGTCAATAACTATGGGATATGTTCCTGCACAGGCCACTGACCATTTGTACTGGGAACAAGTCAGTCAGTCTTGAGTTGCGGTCAAAATATAAATCACTGCCTTTGTTTTTAAGAGGCACCAATTTTCATTAGAAACAATCCTTGTGCTTGCTAGGACAGATCCAAATGTTTTTTTTAGTACAGCCATTGCCCAATGATTCTCCCCACACAATCAAACTATTCTTTCTCTCTCCAATTGGAGATAAAACTCCCATTTACAGAACTTAGTGGCAGTTTCCTTGCAATGTTTTCTTCTTCTTATGCAAGTACAGCTGCTTCTTAAGTCATCTAAAAGGAGATTTTGATAGGGCATTCCAAGAAAATAATCCTTATCTCTGAAACCCCATCCCTATTTACAGGGGAAAAAATATTATCCATTTACAACCCAAAAGACAAACTTAATAAAACAAATTATGAAAAGGGATCAACAATTGCTAAAAACAACCCTATTATGTTCCTACATTTACCCCCAGGATGCTCAAATATCTTCCATGCTGATATGAAAACAGTTTCCCCCGCTCCCCCCCGCCCAAATTGCAATCTGGCATGTCTCAAACATGATTACAGCTCTGAAACATAGGTGCTTGCAAGATGGAATGAGAAATTATCTCTGTAAAGCCAGAGATTTCTGCAAAGTTGTAAGCAAAAGTGAAATGCCAGTTCTAATCCCACCTTAAGCATAAAAGCTGGCTGGGTGTCTTTGAGACAATAGCTAGGAAAAGATAAGTTCTAGTCCCACCTTAGGCATGAAAACTGGCTGGATGACTTTGGGCCAGTCACTCACTCTCTCAGCCCAACTTACCTGACAGGGTTATTGTTGTGGGGGAATAGGATGAGGAAGGAGTATTACGTTAGTTAAGTTTGCCATGTTGAATTAGTTGTACAAATAATAAAGGTGGGATTTATAAAATAATAGAGGGAATCATTTTAAAAAATACAGAAAGTATTAGTATCATCCAACTAGGATGTACAATACGATATGCCTTTGAGTATCTGCAAAGACCAATAGTCAGGAATATCCATTGATGTCTATCAAACAGTTGTACATCTTTAAGCATGGTAACCTTATTTTTAGGAGTTTCCACTATAAGGCATCTGTACATGGATACCTTAGCTTTTTTTCTTAAAGGGAAAACACTTCCTGAGGAAATCTGGATGGGTTTTAACCTCCTAAACATCAAGAGCAGTTTCTGCCACAACTACTACACTTCTTGAATACATACATATTTGAAATTGGATGCTCCCATTCCCCAGCCCAGTGTTTCTTAACTTTAGCAACTTTAAGATACCTTGAAGTCCATATATCTTAAATCTGCCAAGGTTGAGAAACACTGCTATAGACCAAGACCATGGAACTCATCATGATTTATTTCTGGGAGTGTCTAGGACTGCAGCAACAATGAAAACTAAACCAAAAAAATGATTTTTCTAGACTAGATGAATTAGGGAGAAAGTAACTGAGAAAATTTGATTGAGAAATACAGGTATGCTGGAGATGTTCACATGCAGAAGATATGGTGTTTCTGATCTAAAAGGCCAAAGTTTATCTGTTCTTATTTTGAATATTTCTAGGATTTAGAGCAGGCAACCATATCCAGAGACTTGCCCTTATTTTTTTGACAGTTTAGATTTTTTTTCTTCATCCCAGTTCAATTAAAAACTTGATTTTATCAAGGTGACCTTAACAGGCTGTGGCATTTCTCTAAAATATGCTGCCACCTGTTGAGGCTCACCTCTCCAATGGATGCATCTACCATTGTTTAGGTTTGGGTTGGCAACTAGTTCTTGATCAGCTGCCCACATCTCTAAGTCCCATACAGGAGGCAGAACCCAATTGGCTGTTCTGCAAAAACATGCATTCCAATTGGTTGGCTGAGGCAAAGGTTCCTCCCAATGAGCACCACTGAGTAGAAATGGCTCCTCTCTGGCTGGGTCAAACAGGTGGGATGTCGGCTGTGGAGTCTTCAGCTTGGATGGCAACCAACTTTCCTCACAAGGACAAGGCAAGGACCAGTCAGAAGCTTCTGAGGCACTGAATGTTGGTTTGGTTGCTTGAGGTGAAGTTGGCACTTGATTTGCAACTTTAGAGTCAGTGCTACAGCTGGGACTCTGAGTAATTTTTTGATTGTGTCCAGCTGTTGTATTGCTAGAGTCTAGCTTTATGCAGGTGCCATCCCCAGGAAAATAGTGATGGTTCAAGCCATCTTCTGAGGCAAGCAAATCATCTAGGGAGGAGCAAGAACTGGTCCTTCCTGGGGAGAAAAGGACACAAACTAAATTAGGAAATCTTGATCTAAGCACTCCAGCTCTGTGGACAATAGGCATAATAACTTGACATATAAGATGGTCAATAGTTTCAGTAAGAGGGCAACATTATCCAACATTGGCTGATCTGGAAGCTAAGCAGTCAGCTCTGGTTAGCAAGTGAAGGGGGAATGACTAGAGAATTACAGGAAAATTGGCTGTAGTAATGATACTTCATTCACATCTTCTGGGAGGTAGTAGAGCCTTGGCTGCAAGACCCACAAATACCAAAGTCAACTCTGATTGTAAATCTAGAAGACAACTACAAACCATATATTTACATTTCTAAAAAGCTGTACAGAAATTCAGTGGGCACCTGTGAATGAAATTGTAAAGGAGTGTCTCAGAAACAGGAACTTTAGAAGGTCTCAGATATGCTACAATTCATGGTGTTGCCTCTTGTAAAAAAATACAAAAAGAGAAACCCAGGGATAGCCATCTCATTGCTGGCATCACAGAACTGGTGGGAGGCTATTTGTGCCTTTCTTTTTAGAATTTGGAACATAGCTTTAATTTAAAAATGTCCTGAAGGCATATATTAGTTATATTGAGAGACAGCAAAAATAAATGACAAAAAGCAGAAGGGATTAAATTAATCCAGTCTACTGTAAATGTTCCCTGGGGTTCCAGGCACAAGGCTGTGTTTTTAGTATAGTATGTAAGCAGTGATATGTTTTCATCTGGCATCTTGGATGGGCTTTATTTGCAAGTCAGTCTCGGGGTACAACAAACAAGAGGATGGGAGGTCCATGCAATGATAATGGAATAGTGGAACAATGCAGCCTCTGTAGACTTGGCTTGAACATCCAGGTAGTCTTTAACTTACAACCATCCATTCAGTAACCCTTCGAAATTAGAATGGCACTGAAAAAAATGACCTATGACCAGTCCTTGCACTTATGGCTTGTAGCAGCATTCCCAGTCATATGATCAAAATTCAAGTGCTGGGCACCTGGAATGTATCTCCAGTGGTTGTAGCATCCAAGGGTCACATGATTGCCATTTGCCCCTGACAAGTAAAATAAACGGGGGAGGGGGGATTTGCTTAAGATCCACATGAGTCACTGAATAATTGAAGTTATTTACTTTACAAACATATCCAAACAGGTCGCAAAATCAAGCATGACTCATGATTCAGTTAAGATGCTTGGCAACATTTGGAAATGCTAGTCCCAATTGTGGTTATAAGTCTAAGACTACCTATGCAGGGCTCCCTGGATTAAATGGAATTGTATTTGCTCACATGATTCTTGATTCTTAACGAATGTACCTTTTCTTTATGTATACTGAGAGTATTTACACCAAGACAAATTCCTTGTGTGTCCAATCACACTTGGCCAATAAAAGTATTCTATTCTATTCAGTGTTAATTCATCTGCCTTTATTCAACTCTTTATACATATGCATGCTGAAAGAGGGCTACTGGCTTCTGTTTTTAAAGCACCGGGCCCAACCAATTAGAGAAGAACCCAGTAATGAAAACTCCATCTTACATAGTACTTAAGACTATACTGAAAGGGCTACAGGCCAGGCTGAGTAGCTGAAAAACTTTCTCAAGAAGGCAGCGATGAATTACTTCTGTATTGGTGCCAGAAAAACATCACAGATCTGTCCAAGTAATCACCAGAAACTGACTCAAGGGAGACTTTACTTTTTTGGTAAGAACACGCAAGTGAAAACAGTTTTATTATGACCTCTGCAGCTAACAAGGTCTGTATTGCATACAGGATTTTGGATAGGAAAATGGATTGACCATGGAAAAAATCCAGGTAGTCTTTATATACAAGAGTCTTTAGTCTTTATACATAAAGTCTTTAGTCTTTACACATAGAGCTCCTTTATAAGGGAGATGGGTGGTTAAGAAATGTGATGTATAAATAGTCCTCAGTTAACAACCATTCATTCAGCCAGCATGAAGTCCCTTCCAGCTGGTCCTCAAGTTGTGTTGATGCAACATGGGCGTAGTTGTTGTTATGAACATGATCCAAATGCTTTGGAACTGGCTTGCAATTATGACGGTTGCAGTGCCTCGTGTGATGGCCACGTGTGATCTTCACTGCCAGCTTCTGACAAGCAAAGTCAATGAGGGAAGCCAACAGGAGGTTACAAATGGGGATGATGTCACATCACACCTAATGATTACAGGATTCACTTAATGACGGCAATGGGAACTGCTATCGTAAATCACATGATGTCATCCTTTACAACTATATAAATTAGTGATGGAATTCCCAGTCCTAATGACTGTTGTTAACTGAGGACTATCTGTTGGGAAGTGACTGGAAGGAAAATAAAAATTATGACACTATATCCAAATAAAACACAAAGGAAAATCATGAGAAGTTTAAGTCTCTTGGGCTGTATCTAACACAATGATGATGTCCTGGGAATGCCTTGGAAAATGTGTGAATGAAGCATACCAGCGTCCAGAAACTATGAAACAATACTTGTATACAGGTGGTCCTCGACTAATTAATTTAGTGACCGTTAAAGTTACAAGAGCACTGAAAAAATTGACTTATGAGTGTTTTTCACACTTACAACCGTTGCAGCATCCCCATAGTCATGTCATCAAAATTCAGACACTTGGCAATTGATTCATATTTATGACGGCTGCAGTGTCCTGGGGTAATGTGATAACCTTTTGTGACCTTCTTATACATGAAGTCAATGGGGAAACCAGATTCACTTAACAACTATGTTATTAACAGCTGCAGTGATTCACTTCACTTTAGCAAGAAAGATCGTAAAATGGGGCAAATTCATTTTGCAAATGTTTTGCTTAGCAACGGAAATGTAGAGCTCCGTTACAGTCGTAAGTCAAGGACTGTATTACTTGACTAATGCAGGTCAGAACGAAGCACTTACTTTCAGGCAAATAAAAGGCAGAACGGGAGAACTAGAGAGGCAGTTAAAGAGGCTGTGCGTTGTACATTTTAGATCAGCTTTTGCAAAAACAAAAAACAAAACCCAAAATGTAGTCTCCAGGGAAGATACCCTTGCCCAGAGGTCTCCAAACGTGGCAACTTTAAAGACTTGTGGACTTAGCTGGCTGGAGAATTCTAGGAGTTGAAGTCCACAAGTCTTAAAGTTCCCAAGTTGGGGACCCCTGCTCTTGCCTAGTCAGGGATCCGAGTCAGGATTTTATTTACTTAGGTGCATCATCCCCCTACCATGGATCTATTTTGGGAGGGAAAAACCCAGGGGACCAAAGGCAGGACACACATGCTTTGGACAAATAAACAAACACAGTGGCCTATCCTAGTACCTGTGAGGAGTTTTCCCCGCTGCGAAGCCTCTGTCGCCAGCGCATAGGAGAGCTGGATTACTCGCTGTCGCTCCCACTCAGGGGTTGGGGGGCACCGAGGAGGCTTGACTTCCCCAAATTGCATTCCCTCCTTGGGTGATGGCTCAGGGGGGGCATTGGGGAGGGGCTGAAGGAGAGATTAAACGATGGGAGGGGAACTTGGCATGAGCAACAGAGATCTAGCCCCAGCTCTTGACAAAGCACCCCTCGTCTACCATCTAAGCTGAAATTAAAACACACCATCCTTTCCTTCTGGTTTTGATTTACAAAGCCTGGAAGACAATCCTTCAGTGCGCAAAATCACAACACCCCTTAGGTGGAAACCTTTCCTTTCCTCAGCCCCTCCACCCCACCCAAGAATGGGATGTAGCCTAGCCCCCTTCACTCCCGTCTCCAAAGTCCCAGCTTTCTTTATCTAAATCTTCTTCTGATTTCCTCTTAGCAAACTGAAGTGGGTGGTTTCCACCACAGCAAGAGAAACTCTAGAAATCTGTCCTTCTCACACCCAATAGCCTAATGTATTTTGGCTCCTCTCTGGGCCTCCAAACCTCTCTCCCACTTAGTGTCAGGGTGTTTCACTAAAGTGTCCACCCAAGACCTTTGCCGTTCTCCTACGCTCCCCCTCCCCGCAAGGCTTCACACCCACCCGGCTAGACCCATGCTTGAGAGAGTCTCGCCAGTGGCCCAGAGGTGAGGGCTGGGCAGCCTCAGATTTCCGTTTGGCCTCCTGGTTCCGCTGCATCCTGTCCAGCTGTTCCTGGGCGCTCATGCGGGACCGCCGAGGGACCGTCGTTTCAGAAGAGGCCACCTGGACATGAGGGAAGAAGGGAGGGTTGGGAGAAGTCACTGCTCAGGTGCCACACTTTTACCTGTTTTCCTTTTCAGTCCTTTATTACAACTGCAAAAATGAGTAAACTGAACCCCAGGGTAATGGGGGAGCTATCTCGGCACCCTCTGTGTCTCCCCTGGATTGGGCAGGGTGGAATTTTGGACCCCCTTTTTCCACGAAGGGGTGAAATTAATGGCTGTGCAAAAGCTGAAGTCATGTGTGGCATTCCTTTCAAATCCTAAGCCAGCTCCCAAATCAGACCAATTTTCCAGTTCTTAAGGAGCCCTATATTGCATCTCCAAAAAAAACATTGGCCCTGCCCACTCCGGTGATACCATATTATAAAGCGCATCCCTCATGGCTTCCAGGCAGGGCACCAAGAAATGTGTGGCCCATTGTTGAGCTGCTGCTTTGCCATGTTGGCATTCTTTTACCACCATCCATGGCCTTTTGCCATCATTTGTGATGATTGCCATTATGACAGGGGTTGGGGAACCATGGCCCTTTTATGGACTTCATGGACTTCAACTCCCAAAATTCCTGAGTCAGCATGGCTCATGGCCGTCTCAAGAATTGTGGGAGTTGAAGTCCACAAGTCATAAAAGGGCCGTGGTTCCCCACCCCACATTATGACTTCGTCGTTTTCCTCATAAATTCTAGAAACTGTTAAAACAAGTTTTTTTTTAGTTGTAGTTCCAAGAGCCATTGAATGTTCATGAAAAGCTAGAATGAATAAAACGACTATTTAAATCCCTTCAACTGCTATCCCTCATCAACCTTCCCAACCAGATGTCTTAGAACTACAGCTCCCAGAATTCCCCAGCTATGGCCACTAGCTGATTTGCTGAGATTGAAAAACACTCATTTGGCACTACGGAGAGTCAGTTTAACTCCATTCCCATGCTGCCTGAGGGCTATTCACTGTCTTTCAGCCCAACCTACCTCACGGGATTGTTCTTTGGAAAAGGAAATGGGAATGCTATGGACGACACTTTTGAGCTCCTGGAGGAAAGGCAGGGTAGAACCTAACAAATAAATAAACAGGCAAATGAGAAAGGCAGCAATAATTTTGCCATCCCATCATACCTGGACAACGCTGTGTTCAGGACCTTCACTTCTATGGATGCAGCCTTCATGGTCTATGGAAGGGAAGGGAAGCAAAGAAAAAGAAAAAAAACAACTTTCAAGATTAAATTTCCTGTCTCTCCTAGTTTCTGCTTTCACACCAGAAGAAACCATTTTGGTAAGGAATCCAAGATCAGATCTTATAAACGCCACCCTGTTAGTTGAAGGGCACATTTCCTGATCCTTTGGAAGGGAAAGCAGAATTGTGGGTAATTTAAGGAATGAAGCAGGAAGAGCTAAAAGAGTTAAAGAGAAGAAGGAGATGACCTGGCCATCTTCTCAAGCCTTAATTACATTAAGATTATAATATTTCAATGCACTGTTTAGGGAGATGCCTTTATTCTAGACTAAAGTGATGTACAGGTAATCCTTGACAGGATGCAAAAAGATCTTGACAGACTAGAACGATGGGCCAAATACAACATCATAAAATTGAATGTGGAGAAAAGCAAGGTTTTAGGCAGGAAAAAACCAAAGGTACAAGTATAGATTAGGCGAAACCTGGCTCACACAATAACTGTGAGAAGGACCTAAGAGTCCTAGCGGACGATCATTTAAATATGAACCACCAATGTACAGCCGCCGCCAAAAATGCTAATACAATCCTTGGTTGTATGAACAGAGACATAAGAGTCAAAATCATATGAAGTATTGGTACCATTTTATAAAGCTTTAGAAAGGCCACACCTGGAATATTGCACCCAGCTTTGATCACCACATTATAAAAAAGACGTTGAGACTTTGTAAAAAGCGCAAAGAAGAAAGAGAAACTAAGATGATTAAAGGCCTGAAGACAAAAACATACGGAGAACAGTTGCAGGATTTGGGTTTGGCTAGTCTAGAGAAAAGAAGAACTAGATGTAACATGATAACAGTATTCCAGTATTTGAAAAGTCGCCAGAAAGAGGAAGGGGTCAACTTATTTTCCAAAGCACCAGAGGGCAGGACAAGAAAAAAAAATGGATGGAAACTAATCAAATGGAGAATCAGCCAGGAACTCAGGAGAAACTTCCTAACAGTGAGGCCAATTAACCAGTGGAACAGCTTGCTGTAAGTAGTTGTAGGTGCTTTATCACTGGAGGTTTTTGAGAAGAGACCTGACAGCTACTTGTCTGGAATGGTAGAGGGTCCCCTGCTTGAGCAGGGGGTTGACTAGAAGACCCCCAAGGTCCCCTTCCAGCATTATTCTGAATTAACTTATGACCACAATTGGGACCAGAATTTCTGTCGTTAAGTCATTGCAGTTACAACATAAGTCAAGTTAGACCTGAATTCGTGATAATTCAAGGTCATAAGTAACTTTTTCTGAGCCATCTTAACTTCGAACCATTGTTAAATGAAATGGCCACAAGTCAAAGGCCACCCGGAGTCCAGAACTTTACCAGTTCATTCCATTGCAGGCTGCTTGGAACCCAGTCGTTTGTTATTTCCAATGGAAATTTCCATTCCATTCTGTTAAAAAAACTGCATTCTCACCTTCATTATTGATAATAATAATAAATACAGGTAGTCCTCGACTTACAGCAGTTCATTTAGCAACCGTTGAAAGTTACGATGACATTGAAAAAAGCAACTTATGACTGTTTTTCACACTTATGGCTTTTGCAGGATCCCTGCAAGTCACGTGATTGACATTCAGATGCTTGGCAACTGGTTCATATTTACGACGGCTGCAGCGACCTCAGGTCATGTGATCTCCTTTTGCGAACCTTCCGACAAGCAAAGTCAATGGGGAAGCCAGATTCACTTAACAACCATGTTATTAGCTTAACAACTACAGTGATTCACTTAACAAATGTGGCAAAACACACTTAAACTAATGTTTCACTTAGCAACATAAATTCTGGGCTCCGTTGTGGTTGTTAAGTTGAGGGCGACTTGTATTGTTAGTTCTACTACTACTGCAGCTGCTGTTACTTTTACTGGCGAGTGCAGGCGGGTGGGCGGGCTCCATTTGCATGAGCAGCAGGCGCACATACAGGCCACCTATGCGAATCATCCCCTCGCCTCCCACCTCATGCTGGTCCGCAAAGCTGGAAACATTGGAGGACTCTGTCTTAGAGAGAAAAGTAGAAAACGTATTTGGGGTTGGGAATGTGGTGCAGAAAACCTTACGATAAAACATATTGCTGTTCATGGCAAATAAACTAAGGTTTAAACTCCTGTGATGTTAGAGATGCATTGAGAGATGTGGTGGTGCAGTGGTCAGAATGCAGTATCGCAGGCTAATTCTGCTCATACTGCCAGGAGTTCGATTCCTTTGATTTATTTTATTTATTTATTTGATTTGCCAATTGTTTACAAGATAATAAGTATAAGTGTATACATAGTTGTGAATACATGAAATGGGTACATATAAGAAAAATAAAAGAATAAGAGAAACAATAGGACAGGGACGGTAGGCACGATGGTGCGCTTATGCACGCCCCTAGGCTGATCCTGACCAGCTCAGCCGTCCATCCTTCCGAGGTGGGTAAAGTGAAGACCTAGATTATTGGGGGCAACAGAGTGACTCTGTAAACTGCTTAGAGAGGGCTATAAAGCACCATGACTTGGTATATAACTCTTAAGTGCTGTTTTCATGCTCACCTTCATGTCCTGCCATTCTGTTGGAAATGGGGAGAAGAGGCTTTTTCTGTAACTGCTGGGGAATGAGGGACGGGGATCGCCTTCAAGACAGAGCGGACTCCTTCTCAGCGGGTTCCAGCCTGATTTCAAGGCTGTCATGCCCTGAGGATGAACTGTTATCTGCGTAGCCTCTCAGCATTCTCAGAATAACTTTACAGCACCACATTGGCTGCCGGTGTACTGCTCAGGGAAGTTGGGCTTGGGAAAGCAAAATAATTGCTTTGTGCTTTGCGCGGAACTTTTCAGATTCCGCCTTGTTTCCCTGCAATCACTTTCTTAGTAAAAGTTCTTTTGATTCAACTTAATAGACTCGAGTCTTACTTTCCTGAGGGACTGGCCGGGGCAGGTCCTTACAGCTATTGCTATTATCACAATCAAGCAAGAATGTGCAAAGTCAAAAGTTCCAAGGATGAAACCTAATCCAATATCATGTGCATAAATATAAAACTGTCCCAGCTATATCTCATGATGTTGCCTTTAACTCATAATACATACCAGAGGCAACCTGTAATGATGTTGGAATGACTTTGGGAGACAAGGAGAAGAGCTATTGTCAGGGGATAAGAGGCAGCTTAGCCCACAGAAGAGATGTGGACATAGCAAATGTCCTAGTTTCATGCACTGTGAAAGGGGGGGGTATGTACTTTCAGATTTGCAAAATTCACAGATACATGAATCTGGGTGGGTTACAAAATTAAAAACACAAAGCGCCACCAAAAATAACCAAAACTATAGCAACAAAAACATTAAAAGCTTTTTAGGAACAAAAATATAATTAGGAGGACAGCACAATGCCATTATCAATACAGCCACTTTGGAGTTCTCACTCTAGGCACAAATGACCTGTCCCAAATTATCCTACTTGGGGCACATATTGCAAGGACCCAGCTCTCTGGAGAAGGCTCTGATGGTGCAGTGGTTAGAATGCAGTATTGCACCCAAACTCTGCCCACTGCCAGGAGTTCGATCCTGACCGGCTCAAGGCTCACTTACCCTTCCATTCTTCTGAGGTCGGTAAAATGAGGACCCAGATTGTCATTATGCTGACTCTATAAACTGTTCAGAGAGTGCTGTATAACACTGTCGAGCGGTATATAACAATAGCAGACTTATATACCACTTCACAGGGCATTACAGCCTTCTGTGAGGGCTTTAGAGAGTCAACATATTGACCCCAACAATCTGGATCCCCGTTTTACCAATCTTGGAAGGATGGAAGGCTGCTTTGACCCGGTGGGAATCAAACTCTGGCAATCAGCAGAATATAAGTCTAAGTGCTAGTCCTAGTGCTGATGCTGGGAAAGAGAAGAATGACCTGCAGCAAGATGGATAAACTCAGTTACAGTAGAATTAAGAGTTACTATAGCTGAAGAGCTGGAAGACCAAGTTAGGGAACTATCGTCGTGGAGAAAATCTATTTGCAGTATGTGAATGCTGAGAGTTGACAATGATTTTATAGGACATAAGCAATCTATAGCCATTTTGCAGGCTCTACACCGTTGCTACCAAATCCCCAGGCTGGGTGGCAAAGCCATGTCTTCAGGTCCTTCCAGAAGGCCAACAAAATCAGGCTAGTTTGACCTCAGGGGAAATGATGCTCCATAGGGCAGATTACAAAGCAGAAAGGGCTCTTCCCCTAGGTCCCAAACAGGTGATATTCCTTCATGAATGGAGCCTGCAACATACCCTTTCTGCTGGACCTGATGGGATGGGTAGGTGTGATTATGCGTTCTCTTGAGTTGTCCCTGGACAACAGAGGAGCTGAGTATCGTGGGAAAAGAGGGAGACACCCAGCGCATCAGGCAACCCCTCCTTCCTGTACAGTCCCCTGTTAATTCAACTCCTCTAAAGTCCAGATCAAAGCACAATTTCAAAAGGATCTTGAACTTGGACTAACGGCTCTTTCCAAAGAATACTTAAACCTGGGTTTAATAAGAAAAATAACTTCTAGGGGTTGGGTGGATCTTCTCCAAGCTGTTTCTCAGGCATTAATAGGTGTCACAGAGCTGCACAATCATAGGCAGGGAGAACAACAAAGTTAAGGGAGCCTGCCATTGCTTCTCTTGCCCTTCCCTGCATGCCATAAAGAAGGACACCACAATTTGATGGCATCCATAATTGGGGACGGCATTGGGGACGGCAGCACAATTAATGCCAGTAAAGCTGTTTGCTGGGTGAAAACTAGGTGGACAGCTTTTCAGCTTCCCACAGGGAAGTGGCTCCATTGCTCAAATTGTGACCTAGATATGTTACTTATTTCTCAATTTCATTCACCTGGTCTAACAGAATCTGCTCCTCTGCCAAGCTTCCCTTTCCCACTCTCTGGGGGCTCAATGTAGGGATGATTTGGGGACCCCTTGAGTCCATCCACATGCTGAGATGCTCCCAACTGCCCTCTGCTGGAGGTAGATGGACTTTGCTGGAAGGGAATAGAAAGGTGGGTCAAGTTGAGGGCACTGCCCAGAATGGGGGAGCAGAGTTGGGGAAGGGGCTGAGCCCACATGCCAGAAACAGCCTTACCTGCCAGTTTGCTGAACCAGGAACATCCTGCTGCTTGCTCCCCATTCTGGCTGGTTTTCCTGTCTCCGGCCCACAGCTGGATGTAGATTCCTGGAACAAATGGTAAACGTTGGATAAGCTGTTTCGGATTCCATCGAGCGACTTCCACGGCAAGAAAATGTTTAATTAATGCCATATTCTCAGGTTAACAATGCACAGCACACATTTTCCAATGGATAAAATCAGGATTATATCATCATGTTACAGATAAGGTGACAGGTTAGAGAGGGAAGTCTTTTTGGGAAGCAAAAATGTACAGAGAAAAACGCTGAATCGGATGAAATATTCACTGAATCCCATACAGACAGTCCTCAACTTACAACAGTTCATTTAATTTGACTGTTCAAAGTTACAACAGCACTGAAAAAAGTGACTTTCTGTTTTTCAGTTATGGCTGTTGCAGCATTCCCTTGATCACATGATCAAAATTCAGATGCCTGGCGACTGATTCATATTTATGACGGTGGCAGTGTCCCCCAGGAGGTCATGTTATTACCTTTTGCAACCTTCTGACGAGCAGTCAATGGGGGAGCCAGATTCACTTAACAACCATGTTACTAATTGAACAGCTACAGCGACTCACTTGCCGTGGCAGGAAAGGTCATAAAATGGGGCAAAATTCACTTAACTTTCTTGCTTCGCAACAGAAATTTTAGGCTCAATTGTGGTTGTAGGTTGTATAGGTAGGCCTCAGTTACAACCATTTGTTTAGCAATGATTTGAAGTTACAACAGGACTGAAAAGAGTGATAACCAGTCCTCACACTTATGACCACTGCAACATCCCCATTGTCGTCATGGGTCCTTGGTAATCAGCATAGTATATCTACAATGGTTGCAGCATCCCAGGTTATATGATCGCCATTTACAACCTTCACAGCCGGCTTCCAACAACAAAGTCAGTGGGGGAAGCCAGGTTTGCTCAACAATTGTGATTTAAACTACAGTGATTTGCTTAATAAATCTGGCCAAAAAAAGGGTCATAAAACTGGATGCGACTCACTTGAAAAACATCTTGCTTGGCAACAAAAAATTCTGGTCTGAACTGTAGTCATAAGTTGAGGACTAGCTAGAACTGTTTTACAGGATGGCCAGGCAGTTGATTCAAGGTAGCTCAGACTCATGTCACAAAAGAGGAAGCTGGAACTTTTGTGAAAAACCTTCAGATTTTTTTCAGTGAAAGTGTAGTTTGTTGTTAAATTGATATCCAGCACCATCTGCTGGAGTACTAGAGAAATTTACAGTATACTCTTCTTGCTTTGATCAGATTGTTGGATTGGTGATAAAAAAATTTCAGGCTTTGCCACTTTTAAAGAAGACATTATGACACAAAAATCAGAGGAAGAATAAAGTAACCAAGCAAAATCCAAGTACTTCTTTCCCTTTAATGGAGCTTCCATTTACTCCAACACCAATACTTTTTTTGCAAAATTATTTGCTTTTCTGAAACAAAACTAAAGATTGCATGCATGTCATCTGTGTAAAATCCTTTTGTAACAAATCGTTTTTACAAAGTAAAAGCCATAGGAAAGTTACCACAAAACCCAATGAAGCTTATTACCAGGTAACATGGTTTTGTTAACTGCCTTGATGGTTATATGATGGTTAACTGGAATGCACTGGAATTCCCCCCCACACACACACCATTTTGCTTTCTTATCTTTATTTTAGTTGTATTTTAAATCCTGTTTTTATCTATTTGGGTTGCTTTATTCTGTAAGCTGTCCACAGGCACTACATGAGATGGATGGCTATATAAATGTGATTAATAAAACTGTAGAAAGACTCATTCTAATAAATCAGGTGTTATGTTTTAAGGAAACCTATACAGGTAATCCTAGGCTTACAACAATTCATTTAGTCATCATTTAAAGTTACAACAGTACTGAAAAAGTGATTTATGACCATTTTTCACACTTATGACCACTGCAGCATCCCCATGGTCATATGATTTAAATTTGGATGCTTGACAACTGACTCACATTTATGACGGTTACAGTATCCTGGGGTCACATGATCACCTTTTGTGACCTTCTGACAAGCAAAGTCAATGGGGAAGCCAGATTCACTTAACAACTGTTTACTAATTTAACAATGGCAGTGATTCACCTAACAAATGAAGCAAGAAAAGCTGTAAAATGAGGCTTAACAAATTCCTCACTTGACAGCATAAATTTTGGTCTCACTTGTGATCATAAGTTGAGGACTACCTGCATATTAGTGATCTTTGAATGTATACCCTTATATCCACACACACACACACATGCAGAAACATTCCCATATCTTCTGGTAGGATATTCCCAAATTAAGTACCATCACCATCGGGCAGAGAGAATGCTCAGCCTCTATAGAATGTTTATAAAAATAAAACAGGACAGAAGTTTGAAAGAAAGACACACTCTGGAGCCAAAGTCCAGATAAGGTGACTTGTTCTTTTTGAAGTACCTCTGTTTCGGTGCAGGATAGCAAAGGGTGATGATTTGCCCCCAAATTAGAATCCAGAGGCGGGGGTGAGCTTGGAGATACACCTACAACAAAGAAAGCAAAAAGATATTGCAAAGATTCTTTTCTTTTCTCCCATGGTCCTTCTCTTAGTCAGAACACCACCAGGGATTTCTCTGCTGGGAGCTACACAAGAAGGCCTCCTTGGCTGCTGCACTCGATGTTTTAAACCTCCCCGCCCCCATAGAAAAATCTATCAGTCCCAACCAACAGACCAAAACATTTTTGAATCAGAGGTTAGCACAGAGCTGGAAAGAACTTTGGCAATCTTCCAGTCCAACCTCCTCCTCAAGCAGATCCTATAGACCTATACCATTTCAGACAAGTGACTGTCTAGTCTCTTAAAAACCTCCAGTGATGAAGCACCCAGAACATCTGAAGGCAAGCTTTTCCACTGGTTAATTGTTCTATTAGGAAGTTTCTCCTTAGTTCTAGGTTGCTTCTTTCCCTGATTAATTTCCATCCATTGTTTCTTGTCTTGCCTTCTCTTGCTTCAGAAAATAAGTTGACCCCCCCCTCTTCTTTGTGGCAACCCCTCAAATACTGGAAAACTGCTGTCACGTCCCCCCTAAAAGTCCTTTTCTCTAGACTGGCTAAACCCAAATCCTGCAACCGTTCTTCGTATGTTTTAGTCTCCAGGCCTTTAATCATCTTAATTGCTCTTCTCTGCACTCTTTCCAGAGTTAAAACATTTTTTTCATTTATGTATTCTTAGACATGGGCTGCTAAAGCTAATGACTGGTTGGGTATGTTTGATGTTTTCCTAAAGATATATTTAATTACATTTTTGATAATGTTTTAATAACAAAGTAGTCTCAAGAGATGGCAGCTTAGAAATTTAGATAATGATTAGGGGACTGGACGCTGAAACTATACAGAATGGTTGCAAGAATTGGGTATGTTTGGTTTAATGAAAAGTAGGACTAGGGGTCACATGATAGCAGTGTTCCAATATCTCAGGGGTTGCCACAAAGAAGAGGGAGTCAAACTATTCTCCAAAGCACCTGAAGGCAGGACAAGAAGCAATGAGTGGAAACTAATCAAGGAGAGAAACAACCTAGAATTAAGAAGTAATTTCCTGACAGTTAGAACAGTTAATCAATGGAACAGTGGTACGTTAATCAGAAGTTGTGGGTGCTCCATTCCTGGAGGTTTTTAAGAACCTCCATCCCTGAAGGTTTTATCTTGGACAAGCATTTGCCTGAAATGGTATAGTTTTTTTCTGCCTCTTTTCCAACTCTGTTATTCTATTAATTGGAGCTGAGTCCTTCCTCCACCAGGGACTAACAACAGGATTGTAGCTCAGACTGGGAAGCTGGAAGCCATTTCAGAAAAATGAAAAAAAATATATATCTGCATTTGAGCATCCAGGTAGTCCCGAGAATCATATTGACTCAAGGCTATCTTTACCTTCTCAACTACATGGTTGATTTTATTTCTCTGATAGTAATCAACAATGATTACTCGCATCTATCGTTGGAAAGGTGGGGTAGCATTCCCAGGAACAAATCGCAAGTATAATAATGGGACATACCTGATGAGAAAGGAACCCCTTGGTTGCAATGCTGTTCATTCATAACAGAGAACCATCCCACTCTGCCCCCCACCACACCTAATGCACTGCAGTGCTGATCCCATTGCATTAAGCACCTGATCTTCGGTTTTCCAGGGTGCGATAATTTGCCGGGCTGCATCTCAATCCCGCCAGGATGTCATAGATTCTCCACAAATCCTGTTGAGCTGCTGCTTGGTCCTACGGGAAGGGAAATGATGGACAAATGGAGATAACCAATGTACCTCCTACTTCACGCCTTTTCCCATCACCACTTCCAGACAAGAGCCAAAATCTCCCAAGTGACAGGAGCACTGCTACAAACATTCTCCTAATTTTTAATGGTAGATCGTTATTTCTAAAGCTATGCAGTATTTCTTCCATGGATGGGAATTTCAGCATGTGTTGATATCAAATGTATAGATTATTGACACCTTTGTAGTTTTTTTTCTTTTTCTTTCATTGTTTAAAAGTAACTTTCTAGTTTAGTAATTAATCAAAGAGAAACAGGAATTCCTATAGATGAAAAAAGAGGGTGGATGGACCCTGAAGATGGACATCCAGGTTGTCTCCTACTTTCTGTCCCTATTATTAAATAATTAAACTAGGAATATATCTGTTTGTATGTGTTGATTGTACAAAAACGCCACCTATTCCCATCACAATGCAGAATAATGTGTATAAAATGAAACCAATTATCTTTTTTATGGCTGTAAAATACCAAATTAATTGTCTATTAGCTCCATGCATTCATGTTAATTATCGTTACGGTTCAAAAGCTGGCTTATCAATGAAATTCTTTTATAGTAATCTATGACAATTAACCTACATATATACTATTTACAAATAACAATTAAAAATCCAGCAAATTTTGTATTATTAAATTAATAATAGAAACCAGAAAAACATCACATATTCTATCATCCAATAAAATGTCAACTCAATCAAAGGCTCATGTCAGTGAGTGACTACGGTCTACTTAGCAGTGCAGCCTAGTGGGTATCCATTGGAATAGTTTTATGTTTGAAGCCACTACTGAGAAAGCTCCGTCCCTCATATTTAGGATTTACCTGGGGATGCCCGGAAGTCCGGATATGCTCCAAGGAGCCCTTTAGCATCTGTACATCATTTTCCAAGGCCGTATAATCCTCCCACACTCGTTCACTGTCCTGGACAGAAACAATGACTCAGCTAATTAGTCAGACATTCCCTACTAAATATATATTCATACAATAACTGAATTTTACCTGTGCTACTGTGGGATAAAGGAGAAAGCTGATGAGATACTGTACAGTGATACCTAGGTACTCAACTGCTTTGAAACTCATCAAATTTGATATTCAAAGCATTTTCACGTGAACATTTTGTCTTGATAGTCATTGTTTATTTGGTACTCAATGCACAAGCTAGAACTTGGTGTCAGCTGCCTTGTGACTCACTATATTATTCCTTATGGAAAAAACATTGTTTGATACTCATCGCGTCTCCCGGAGCCAATTAACAATGAGTACCGAGGTACCATTTGTACTTTGTCTTACTGAATCTGTGCTGCAAAATATCAGGACAACCATTAGGTGGCTAGTAGTCATCTGGATTTTTGCAGCCCAGATGTTACAGGAATATATATACATGATGTACACAACAGAGACATAATCCACGCAGCTGGCACTTGTGTACAGGAATGTTGTGGACATTGTATGGGTGAGACTCTCCCAAGTTCAGATGGGAGATTCCGCAGACGGTTGTGGAGCATAAGAGGGTTAAGATCCTGTGGGGTTTTCAGACCCAGACAGACAGGCAGGTACTGGGCAATCAACCAGAAGACAGGGATGGCAATAGATGTGGGGTATACCAAGTGACAGCAACATCAGAAAGGAGGAGGAGGGACACCAGGGCCTGAAGGAGGAATTAGAGAGGATATGGAAGTAAAGGCTGAAATGGTCCCAGTGATGGTAGGAGCACTCTGAGCTGGGAGAGTGGCTCCAGCAGATCCCAGGAACAACTTCAGAGCTCTCTGTTCAGAACAGTGCAATGCTAGGAACAGCTAAGATCTTGCGCAGAACCCTCAGTGCATTTGGGTGTCTCCAGGCTGGGAAAGACAGATATACAGCATTTCTTTCTCTTTTCCTATTAGTATCGCCACCAGACCTGACCTGATATACAGCTATCAATTGATCTATGCGCAGATCTAGTTAGGATCTTTCTTCGAAAAATATTTTCACTCAAAGTATCGGGGAGCTGCAGCCACTCACCAATGCAAGATCGCAGAGACGGGCACGGGTATGTACCAGCTCATCTTGTAGTTGCCTTTGTTGATAGCAGATCTTCTCCACAGTGGCATCTTGGCCTTTAAACTCTTCCAGCCTCAAGTGTGTTACTTCCAAGGCCTTTTCAAGACGTTCCTGAAACAATACCGCATCCTTTTCGAGAACGGCCCACCCAGCACAGATTTTCCTTCATTGCAGTTTGATGAATCAACAAAACAACGTTTGTTTCAAGGCATTTTCACAGAAATGCACAGTATCGCAGACTACTTAGCATAGGGAGGGAACCAGTCCCAAGGCCTTGCAGCTGATATTTGGTAGCAAATAATCAAATGACAACAAGTCCTCTGATTAATTTGAGATGGAAAGTTACTTCCAACAGATATAAGGCGACATAATATATATTAAAATGACCTTGGGAGACAAGAGGAAGAGCCACAGGCTACACAAAAGTCAAACAAGTGGAAATTGTGTCCACAGAAGGAATGGGTAGGCATGGCAAGCATCTCAGAAAGGACCTTCCCTAGTTTCTTACACTGTAAAGGTGAGGAGGATGTGCCTTAAGATGTTCAAGATTCTGTTCATGTCATTTTACAGTAAAGATAGCACTTTTTGTCTGGACTATCTCACGACTGATGGTGCAAACATTTTAAAAGAGGCAAAGTAGCTCTTCTGGTGATGGCATTACTTCATCAGCTTTCTCACTGAAGACCTTGGCAGGCTAACTAAAGTAGAGACGGAAGTATAAACAGACAGAGAGGTCTGTTTCTGAGTTGACATAACTTCTGGCTATAGGAGAGAAGGTAAGGTGGGTATCCAGTTCTGGTAACTCTATTTTTATAAAAGAAATGTAACAAGGACTATTAAGGAATGTCAGCCTTGAGAAGTAATCCAGACAAGAAGCACATCCAGAAGTACTAGTACTATTGTACTTTATGTAAGGATACATAAACAGAATCAGAATAACAGAATAACAAAATTGGAAGGGACCTTCAAGGTCTTCTAGTCCAACCCCCCAATGTATAAAACATATTGTGAGTAAAATGAATAAAACATATTGTGAGTAAAATGAATAAAACATATTGTGCTTTGATCAACGGGGCCTGACTTTTGTTATAGCCTGTACGTTTCAGCTCAATATCTCTGTCTTTCTCTGTCTCTGCCTATCTGTCTGTCTGTCTGTTTCTGTGAACTGCCCAGATAGATTTGGCTACTGGGCAGTTAAGAAATTGTAATTTATAAATCAATAAATACATTGGTCCATGACAAACTTTCCTTTATGTAGCAAGATCCTGTATTTCCCATTTCAAGGAAGCCATGAATTGCCACATCCATTTTGTCTAATCTGGACCGTTCCCCCTTCTACCCCAAAGGTGACCTGTATGTTGCAAATCTTTTCCCCACCATAGGAAAAAGAGGGGAGATTCCCGAATGATTAACCAAACACAATATTCTCAAATGTAACAGAGCTAAACAAATGTTCATTTGTTCAATGGAAGTGGAATTAGATACCTTTTCAATACGGAGATGCTCTGTCTCTTCTTCCAGACCTCGAAGCACCTTGTCTTGGCCACACAATTTTGTCAAGAGAGCCTGAAAACATAGGAAAAAATGTACTGATTCCAACTAAAGCGTTCAGAAGGTGCGGTGGTGCAGAGGCACCTGGTTTTTAAAGGGCTTAGCTTATAAGTTAAAATCCTTTGAAAGAACATTTGGGGTTTTCACAACGAGGACGGCGACTCCCAATGTTTTTGGACATGCTAGGTAGGAGTACTGGAAGTTATAGCCCCAACTCATCCAGGGAAGGCTGATTAGAGACATTTACTACTCATGGAATAAATCCTTTGCTTTATGATGATAAACGTTCCATGGTTCCGAAATTCAACTGATCAGCCTTTGAAATTAATTCACAGAAAAGTTCCAAATTAATCAGATGCTTCTGCCAGCTGCTTGACCAGCTACTACAAATGGATCTTTACATTGTGTAAATGCTGATGAAAGAGTGAATAAGGCATGGACATGGGCCAGGGTTAGTCCCCTCAATCCCAATGAGCACCCTTTATCCATACAATGCAAGGGAACCTAATGTCTGGCCCAGGGATGGAATTCAAAACTTTTAACAACTGGTTCTGTGGGCGTGGCTTAGGTGGTGGGTGTGGCTTGGTGGTCATGTGACTGGGTGGACATGGCTTGGTGGTCATGTTATTGGCTGGGCGTGGCCAACTCAATATCATTCACATCGAGGCACGCATCTCCTCCCCTGGCCTCTCATGACTGTGGGGATTCTGCAACAGTCATAAGTGTGAAAAATGGTCATAAGTCACTTTTTTCAGTGCCATTGTAACTTTAAATGGTCACTCCACACAAGCAAAGTACCAGCAAAGGAAGGAAAGAAAACTCCAGAGAAGTTCCAGGGACAGGAAGTCTAGTCCTGCCAAGAATTTAATAAGGGTTAACGGAGAGGCAGTTTCTATAAGCAACACCAGAATGTTTCCTTCCTGCCTTCCTTACAGGATTAGGCCAGTAATTTCTTCTAGCAACCAGTTCTCCGAACTGCTCGGAATGTTAACAACCGGTTCTAGCAAATAGGTGCGAACTGGTAAAATCCCACCCCTGGTCTGGCCCTAGGGGAATAGGAAACTCATTAGAGAATCTTAAACCTGGAAAAGTTATCCAAAATTGGATAAGAGTAGAGGGGTCTTTTTTTGGGGGGGGGAGAGGTAACAACCCAGAAACCTATTACTTTAAAGTGGAATGAAGCCCATCAAATAGCTTGTTTGATTGTGTGTTGTCGTCGGGCCCTGGGGGTGGGTTTACTCTTTATTCTTTTATATTGGGTTATTTATTTGTTGTAAGCAGCCCAGAGCCACTGAGAGTGAGTGAGTGGCTATATACATAAATCTAATACATACATGCATCCATACATATTCAATCACAACTGGGACATTTAAATAAGGACTTTTTGATAAACAGTGGAAACGCTTTCCAATAAGCATTTTTTGGTAATGAAGGAAAAAGTTTGGGAAGCACTGGGCTATCAGAGACAGTGTAAGAGCAGAACTTTAGATCTGAACCCAGAGCCCCAAGACCAAAAGGCAGAAACATGTGGCCAAATGATGCAATTTTATCCGGCGATTGAAGCACAACAACAATAATTTTAAAAATGCCTCTTCTACTAAGTAAGAATGATAGTGTGCCTTCAAGTCAGTTTTGACTCCTGGGGGACTGCCTAGACTAGTCCCTGCAGGTTTTTTGGGCCAGGTATTTTGGAAGAGAATTGCCATTGCCTCTTTTCTAGGGTTGGGAGAGAACGACTGGCCCAAAATCAGCCAGGTGGCTTTGTACCCAAGACAAGAGAAGAATTCAGGGTTTCCCATTTCCCAGCCTGATGCCTTAACCACAAATCTCTCTCAAAGAAGCAGTAGTTGCATCATGTAAAATTATTTAACTTAGACAAACTAAAATAAACTTTTGGACTTGATGGAATCTTTTCTGTGGGGGCAGCAGACTTTTGCCATTTGGACCTAAGAAAATCTGCCTAATCACTTTTCTTCTTGTTCTTAGGCCAACATAATTCTTCATTTTCATTTTACAATTGACCTTTGAGATTTTCTTTCTGTTCTTTTTCAAATGGTGCTTTTCTTATTCAGTTTACTTTTCCAACACTATTTTGGGCCATCCTCAAATCTCAGCTTGATGATAAAGACTTCAGGGAGAGGGGGAAGAATAACCTCTTTCAGAAGTAGATAAATAAATACAGGCAGTCCTCAAGTTACAACCACAATTGAGCCCAAAATTTATGTTGAAAGTTCAAACATTTGTTAAATCAGTTTTGCTCCATTTTACCACCTTTCTTGAAACAGTTGTTAAGTGAATCACTGCAGTTGCTAAATGAATCTGGTTTCCCATTGACTTTGCTTGACAGAAAGTCACAGAAGGTGACAAGCATGACAACTGTCATAAATATGAGTCAGCTACCAAACATTCCAATTTTGATCATGTGACTACGGGGATGCTGCAAAAGTCAACGGTTTGAAAAACAGTCGTAAGTCACTTTTTTCAGTGCCGTTGTAAGTTTGAGTGATCACTAAAGGAACTGTTGTAAGTTGAGGACTACCTGTAAGGGAAATTGGCAAAGCAAAACATTATCCATTGGTAAGAAACGAGAAATCCATACATCAGCATCACTTTCAAACCGCTGCCTGCCAGGAGAATGGCTGCTCCTTTCCCGCAGTGCGTTTCGACTCTGGAAAGACAGCAAAGAACATCCATGTTATTACCTCACAAACAGAAAGGAGGAAGAGATGACAGTTGCTGGCTTGAGCACCATGCATATGCTCAAGAGCTTTCCCCAAATCTGGATCTTATAAATTTTCTATTAGTATTTGTGCAACCCTTACACTAAGAAACCTAGCCAGTCAGGGTAGAAAGCGAAGCAAAATGTTAGTTTAAGGGCCTAGATTTTCACACATGAGGAGATGTTTGTATCAAGGAAGATTCTGACATATTATGATTATATCTCAAAAAAGGAGCCTGAAAGAAATAGTTTAAAATTCAAATAGAGACTCTTGATAAAATTAACCGAGTAAAAAGTGACACAGTCAAATGGGGTTTAGCCAAAATCTTGCTAAGCTATATTACCTCAGCAGCAATACAATATTGCAATGGCAATCACATAACCCCAGAAAGCTGCAGCCATCATAAATACATACAAGTTGCCAAGGGCCTGAATTTTGACCACATGACCATGTGAGGACAGATTGTAAGTCATTTTTTTCAGTCCTGTTGTAACTTCGAATGGCTGCTAAATGGACGCACAAAAAGCATTTGATAACGTAAATTGGCAGTTTTTTTATAAATCAACTAAAAGTCATGGATTTCGGTGAAAATTTTATGAGGATGATATCAGCAATCTACTCAACTCAGATAGCCAGTGTGCTACTTAATGGGGATAGAACAGAAATATTCAATATAAACAAAGGAGTGAGACAAGGATGTCCACTGTCACCCCTACTCTTTATCCTCTCTTTAGAAATATTATTAACAAATATTAGAAGAAATAAAGAAATTAAGGGGTTACAATTAAAAAAGAAAAGTATAAAACACCAGCATTTGCCGATGATATAATATTTTTTCTAGAGGAACCGGATGAAACAGGGACTGCTTTAATAAGAGAATGGTGAAGTAGCAGGACTTAAAATAAATAAAAACAAAATGAAGATATTAACCAAGAATTACTAAAATTCTTGGGTCTGTTTGTTTGTAACTTTAAACTAGGCAAAATGTTGCATCATAGGGGAACGATTTTTGAATCAACGTATCCCAAATAGGCTAATTTAAAGAAGGTGACCAAAATCCAGGAACCCTGACTCCCATGGGATTGAAATTTGGCGGTTTCAGTGCCACCCGCTGCCGCATGGCCGCAGTGGGCCACAGCCACAGCCACGACTGTTATTTCTTACTACACTTCCTAGAAACGGCTCTCTGTCCCAACTCCCTCTGGCCTCTGCGCTCAATTGGCTAGCAGCAAGGCCCGACGGGCGAGCAGCAATTGGCTGCTTTGAAACCAACCTGAAATTTCTTAACAGAGGAGAGCAGCGAAGAAAGAATGAGAGTGTGCCTTAGACGCCTTCTGGCAAGGTACGGCTGGCTGGGGGTTGACAGGTAAGTTTCCTGGAGGGAGGGACCCCACAGGTCCCTTGGTTCCCGTATCCCCAGCACAGTGGCAGGCAGTTCCATGGGGGGGGGGGAGAAGGGGGGAGGAGGAGGAGGAAGCTTCAGCAGGACTCTACTAAAGATCATGAGAAAACAGAAACAGTGCCAGCCTATATTATATGTGGAACTAAGGATAACCCTATGGATGGTAAATTGCCCATCACCACATAACATTATATCTGGATACTTATAGTTCTCCTAAACCATTTTGTATCTGGTTATTCACATCCCTGCCCAAATATCTACTGTGCAACCAGGAATAAATGGTCCAGCTACTGATTGGTTCATATTACACTGAACAATGGTAGAAAAGAGTAATATAAATACAACAATTAGACATTCTGTGCAGTTATCTAGTTAATTATTTGAACTAATGTTGCCTGGGATGGTGAAGTTATTGGCTGAGTAACAGAGGAGGAATCAAGTTCAAATCTACATACCGTGACCCCAACAGATGTCCTTTTCCCTGGGGTGGGCCGAGTAGGCAGGGGAGGAAGGGGTGGTAGGTGCAAGTAGCTTGATGAGGCAGAGTGGGGGGTTATCTGTAGGAAAAAGGAAGGCAATATTAAGGAATATGGCCAAGAAGGGTTAGGAGCAACTCTGTGTGGGAATGCAGAAAAAAATTGAGTGTGTATTATACACAAAGCACTTTTCCGAACACTCTTTCATTCTAGTCAGGAAGCAGATTTCTAGCTCTAATAATCAGAAAGGAATTCTTGAACACAAACATGAAAATTTAAAAGTGGTTTCGGAGAAGGATCAGCTTCCTGCAAGATAATAAAAGCTGCGATCGGTAGGAGCCTTCCGTCAGGCCGTTATGGTTGTAAGTTCTGCTGTAAAGCAACTCACAACCAGATCCAATTTTATTATGTTTTTTTGCAGTTGTCATTAAGCAAACACAGTGATCATAAATAAAAAACACAGCAGTTGTTAAGCAAACTCATTGTTCACTAAAAATAAACGCCAATTTATAGGGGGGGGGGGAATTAAAATGCAGTCACGTGATCACAGGATGCTGCAAACGGCCATAAATGTGGGTTGGTTTTCAAGTGCCCAACATGCGGTCATGTGAGCTGTGGGAAGGTGGCTGTTGGAACTTAGGAATCAGGTACCACCCCCCAGAAGTTCCATTGTAACATCAAATAGCAATAGCAATAGCACTTATATATCGCTTTATAGTGCTTTACAGCCCTCTCTAAGCGGTTTACAGAGTCAGCATATTGCTCCCAACAATTTGGGTTCTCATTTTATCCACCTTGGAAGGATGGAAGGCTGAGTCAACCTGGAGCCTGGTGGGATTTGAACTGCCAAATTGTAGGCAGCTGGCTGCAGAAGTAGCTTGCAGTACTGCACTCTGCGCCACAGAGGCTCCTAACAAATGGTTACTAAGCGATTGGTTATAAGTTGAGAACTATCTGTATTTTGCTTTATTGGCACCATTTATACCAATTATGTAATTGGGCTGCAGAACTCAACATTTGCTGATTCAGAATTACAGGTAGTCCTCAACTTATGACCACTATTGAGTCCAAAATTTATATTGCTAAGTGAGAAATTTGTTAAGTGAGTTTTGCCCCATTTTATGATTTTTCTCACCACATTTGTTAAGTGAATCACTGGAGTTCTTAAATTAGTAACATGGCTGTTAAGTGAATTTGGCTTCCCCTTTGACTTTGCTTGTGAGAAGGTCACAAAAGATGATCACATGACTCTGGGACACTGCAACCATCATAAATGCGAGTCAGTTATCAAGCATCCGAATGTAAATCCCGTAACCATGGGGACGCTGCAATGGTCGTAAGTATGAAAAATGGTCATATCACTTTTTTTCAGTGCCGTTATAACTTTGAACAGTGACTAAATGAGTGATACTTAGCCACAGAATGCAATATTTTCACAAAAAAAAATACAGGTAGCCATACACAATCCTGGTCATGATGAATGCGGATAACACATTTTGCCTGTAAATGTAATATTCCAGACATAGCATATCTAGATTTTGTAGGCTGGATAAGAGATGTGAGGGAGCATGGCCTACAGAGCAGGAAAACGAAAAATGCTACCCATCTCTGTCTCTCCGATACTCACCAGTCGGCCATGAAGGCGGGACATGACCAAAGCACGGGACGGGCCAACTGATGGAGAGAGGTAACCTCGGTCTGTAAACTGGCAAAAACAGACAGAGATTCATGAGAGATTCAAATTCAGACTATAAACCAATTTCAGTTTGTTTGCTTACTTGATTTGTACAGGCCCCATCTCATCTTATAAGGTAAAGAGGTAAAGGTTCCCCTCGCACATACGTGCTAGTCGTTTCTGTCTCTAGGGGGCAGTGTTCATCTCCATTACAAAGCCAAAGAGCCAGCGCTGTCCAAAGACGTCTCCGTGGTCATGTGGCCGGCATGACTAAACACCGAAGGCGCATGGAGCGCTGTTACCTTCCCACCAAAGTGGTCCCTACTTTTCTACTTGCATTTTTACATGCTTTTGAATTGCTAGGTTTGCAGAAGTTGGGACAAGTAACGGGAGCTCACTCCATTACGCGGTGCTAGGGATTCGAACCACTGAACTGCCGACCTTTCTGATCGACAAGCTCTGTGTCTTAGCCACTGAGCCACCACAGCATCAAAAGTGAAAATGAATTAGTAAAATAAACATACAAACAAATTGAACCAGCAGTAGAAACATAAGAAACACAAAAAATAACCAGAATGAATGGCACGATCAATACTATATGGCATGCAATCCAACCATTGGAAAAATTCTCCACAATCACCAGACCACTCCCAAGGGTGATGGCAAAATCACTGGCAAGCGTAGGAAATCTGGAGCCAAGGCTGTTCAAATGAACACAGATTTATTGGATGCTAACACTCTCTACAGCAGGGGTCCCCAACCCCCTGGGTCGTGGTCCACCTCTGAGCCTTAAGCCATTTGGAACTGGACCATGGAAGTGACATGCGAGTGGGCACATCCCAACTTGCGCAAACAGCAGGAGAACGTTTGCAGGTGCACTCCACTCCACAGCAGGCGCCTGTGCCTGCTGCTCGCACAAATGAAACTGCCCATGCACGTGCTTGACCATCACTTGTGCAAAATCATTCCGTCTCTGTCCCCCACTGGTCCACAAAGCCGAAAAGGTTGGCGAACTCTTGCTCTACAAAAATCTGTACTACTAATGGTCAAAGTGAATTGGCGGTAGAAAAAGAGTCAATGGAATTCAAGGTGGACTGGATTTCTTGTGGGCGCAAAGGAATGTAAGGCTGATGACATCCTTGACCCCTCCCTTAATGGTTCATCCTGGTCATCTCCTACAATCACATCTTCAAAGTGTTCCAAAAGTCCAGGAGGATCATGGTTAGTTTAAGTTCACGAAGAACAATATTCCAATGAGATTGCTGTGCTTACTGAAGCCGAAACTTCCACTTACTCTGTTTTGTTGTGGTCTCCCTATTGAGGGGACTAAGCCATCTTCACCCACAGGCCGGACTCTACGGAGATGAGGACTTTGAGCGTAGCGCCTGGCATAGGAGTCTTCAGAAGTAGGGAGCACATCATACCGGTCTGCAGGGGTCAGAGAGTGGCCTTTGTGGGCTGGTGACACAACAGCATAAGGGTTATTGGGAAGGCATTTGTTGGGGGCAATGTCCACCCTCCCCATGGGAATGTTGGCATGCAGAGTCCTTGGAGAGCTCATGATAGAGAGGTCACCACAGGAGGCAGCCTGTGCAACTACAGATCGCGGAGGGCTCCGGTGGGCATCATGGGGGCTCCGGTGGGCATCATGAGGGCTCCGATGGGCATCATGCATGTCCGACGGGTGAGCCTGTGGCAACTTTGGGGACTCGGCTGGGGCTACTGGGAGGGAATAAGCACGGGAGGAACGCAGTGAAAACTCAGGGGAAGGCTGAGATATCTGAGATGGAGAAGGAGGAGGTGGACTCTCAGATGAAGGCGGTAGTGGGGTCCGTGGCCGGGAAGAGAACTTAGTGCAACTAATCGGAGAGGGACATCCATGTGTTTGGGACGACAGGGAGCTGCCAAGAGAAGATGAAAGAGAAGATAAAGTCAATCATGGTGATCCTATAAGCCCTGTTCCAACAGGGCTTTGGAGAGCCAAAGTCTGTACAGTCATCCGCTACTACATCCTTCCCACTCTTTACAGTAGAGATGTCCAATCTTGGCAACTTTAAGATTTGTGGACTTCGACTCCCAGGATTCCCCATTCAGCCATGCTGGCTGAGGAATTCTGGGAGTTGAAGTCCACAGGTCTTAAAGTTACCAAGGTTAGACATCCCTCCTCTACAGCATCCACAGCAATGAAGCTGGTTTTACTTCTCCTTACCTCAATTCTGGCTGCTCTTTCTTTTCACGGCAGTAGCTCCCGTTGAGCGAACTGGATAAAGAAGCCCTCTTAAGGCAAGGAGATCCTGTCTGGATGTCAGGCAGGTGGAGGCTCTCGGACGAGGAGGCCCGGGACTCCTGGATCTCTGAGAGATGGGCAACTTCTAGTGACTCGGTGCTTTTGGCACAATCACCCTGTGGGAGCCGAATGTCCTCAAAGCTGGTGTGGGCAGACACTGAGTGGCTGTGGAGACCCCCTTGGTTGCTGAGGTAGAGCAGAACGGGAAATTTTTTATTTCAATTATTTATTTTGTAACTCACCTTTATTGTTTTTTACAAATAACTCAAAGTGGCGAACAACAGTCCTTCTCCTATTTTCCTCAAAATAAAAACCCTATGAGGGGCATTAGACTGAGACTGAGTGGCTGGCCCAACGTCACCCAGCCAACTTTCATGCCTAAGGCAGGACTAGAATTCACAGTCTCTCGGTAATTGGCCAAAGTCACCCAGTTGGTTTTCATGCCTAAGGCAGAACTAGAACGCACAGACTCGTGGTAGTCTTGTGCTTTAACCACTAGACCAATAAATCCAAGTGGCTGTTCCAGGTCTCCATAACATTGCCCATTATGCCCAGAGCAAAACCTGGTTCCTCCCCCTTCCATCAAATGCTGCTCTGCCCAACTGACCCCACCAAGATTTTTCCCAGTTCTTCCACAAGGATGACTTACACATCCAGTCTTTTTCAGAAAATTCAGCTCTTGTGTTCTTCCACTATCCTTTTTTTCCTGACCAATTCTTACTTTAATAGTTTGCACTCTCTTTTCAAGGGATTATTCTTTCCAGAACTTTCTACGATGCTCTTAGACATGTGTGACTATACAAAATTGGCAATGCACCCACAACAGGATTGTGTGTCTTTCCCCATACCCAGCCCTTACAGGTTTCCACAGTTGCACTCAGCAGCAGCTGACTGGTTCATGGCCCTGATCCAGCTATTCATATCCAACTGGGTGTCTGCACTGAAATAGTAAGTCCGCATGCCTGGATGTTCAGCCTATGGGGGGGGGAAAGCAAAGGAAAGAAATTCCTTGTAATGGTTGGAGCCTCCTCAAGGGGGCAGAAGATACACTTAGAACACCAGCAGAAAAGGAAAAAGTTGGAATTGTTGGTTTCCTATACCACTCCTGCCAAATAACGTTACTCTGCTTTATAGTAGATGGGCTGTTGCTCATTTCTTTTTGTGGGATGCTTCAAGATACTCTGCAGCAGTATTGCCTACCGTCCCTGTCTTACTGTCTCCATTTATCTGTATTTAGTTCCCTCGTTCTTGTTTACGTTCGTACATACTTGCTATCTTGTACATGTTTGATAAATAAATAAATATGTGGACTTCAACTCCCAAAATTCCCTAGTATGGCTGGTTGGGGAATTCTGGGAATTGAAGTCCACATATCTTCAAGCTGCCAAGGCTGAGAAACACTGCTCTGTAGGATGGTTGCATGACTGCCTTAGAAGAAGACATCACATGGCTATTTCATAATCCATCCTTCTGAAGACACCCATTAGAAAAACACTAATATACTAAGAAAGCATTCTGTGCAGCCTCTCGTCTGAAATGCAGTGAAGGATAATGAGAGGGCTTGCACTCAATTGGTCCCTATCTGCCATCCAATGTGGCTGTTGCACTGTCCTAAAGGTAAGATAGACGCTTTTGAAAGCAATTCTAAAACTTTGCCAAGAATGCTGTAGGGATTTGTCCTGGCTGTCACCAGGAATCAACACTAACTCAGACAGACAGACAGACACACATACAGAGAGAGAGAGAGAGAGAGAGAGAGAGAGAGAGAGAGAGAGAGAGAGAGAGGTCCTGAATTAGATTTGGTACAATTTGTACATATTCCAATCTATGCATCTCTTGATATTGAGCAGCAGATTCGACTAGAAGGCCTCCGAGGTCCCTTCTAATCCTATTATTCTGTGTTTTGTGTTCCTCTGCCTGAAAGTCTCTGTAGATCAACTGCTAGCAGGCAGAGCAAGAAATCCTAGTTGATGCAGCTTTTAACCTAGCTTGTGAAGCTTCTTGTTAGAAGCTGGATGCACAAATGCCCTTGAGTTCCTTGATGAGGAAAAAAATGCAGGGTCAAAGATTCTAAATCAATATACAGTATATCATGCAGGTAGTCTAGAACTTACAACCACAATTGAGCCTGGAACTTTATATAAGTCATTGTGGTCATTAAATAGGTCACCAAATGACTTGACTTGATTTTATGACCATTTTTATGATGATTCGTAAAGCAAGTCGCCACAAATGGCACAGTCATTAAGCAAACCCCATGGTCGTTAACCAAATCCAGCATATCCAATGGGTGGCTTTTGCCATTTTCTACTGAAAAACATGAGCCCGCTGCCTATCACCCAAAATACAATCAGTTGACTGGGGGAGAAGGGCAACAGCATTTGTAACTAAGGATAGGTCCTAAGTAGCCTTTTTCAAAGTGTCATAATTTTGCATTGTCATTAAAGCAACCAATCATAAGTGATTTATTGTACATACAATGTACATGTATGTACCTGTATTAGATAGATGAGCTAACAATAGAGTAGTTAATAGAATGGAATGGAATGGAATGGAATGGAATGGAATGGAATAGAATAGAATAGAATAGAATAGAATAGAATAGAATAGAATAGAATTAGAATTAGAATTAGAATAGAAATAGCATAGCATAGCATAGCATAGCATAGCATAGCATAGCATAGGAATAAGAATAGAATAGGAATAGAACAGAATAGAACAGAAAAGGAATTGAATCTTTTGTCACTTTAAATATACACTAATCAGCATACATTAAAATGAAATTTTGTTGCGTTCAGCTCTCAAAAGATAACCATTATGCATATCCCATCATACACACATTATATATGACGCAGAGAAACATCACAGTCCAGTTCAGATGTATACATATACATGGTGGGAAGAAAAAAGAATCTTGCAAGTTTATAAGATGGGTGGCATAAGGAACAAAACTGTTAGGAATCTAGCATCCTGCTATAGATTCTTCAAAACCTCCTCCCAGAGGGGTCTCTAACGATGCTTCAAGCCCTAAGCACATAGCACTTATAAGCGGTATCCTGAATAATGGGAAGTGAGCTTCCTATAATCTTCTCGGTTGTCCTTACCACTCTCTGTAGGAACTTTCTATCTGAGGCCCTGCATCCACCAAACCAAACGGTGATGCAGTTTGTTAAAAGGCTCTCAATCGTGCCTCTGTAAAAAGTGGCCAGGACAGAAGGAGAAAGATATGCTCTGCTCAGTATTCACCACACATAGATATTGCCTCGTTAAAGCTGAGGCAATGATAAGACTCTAAGGTGGTTTCAAGGAAACAGTGACCATGGACATTTCAGAAAAGTTCCATCATCACAGGAGAGACAAAAGCATAAATGGGGTCCTTCCTCCTGACCTTGAATACAAAGCGACGGTTCTTCTTCTCCTTGGAGAAAGCTGTCCGAATCTCATAGCTGGGGAGGAGGATACTGCCCAAAACCATCTCTTCACGGCTGTCTGGAACACACCCCGCAAAACCCCACAGAAAGAAACTTCAGTGTGTGCTTGTCTAGCCTCCACCTCAAAAGGTTGAAACTCTCCAGTTTCCGGCAGCATGACTGTTTCAAGGGACTGGGTTATGCTTACAGTGAAGTTTCTCAACTTCAAACCACCATTAAATGAACAGTCATAAGCCAAGGACTACCTGCATTTCTTTTTTAAACTTCTGTTTTCAGAACTTGGGAATGCTGCTTTGATCTCTGCTTGTTGATGCATCGCCACACCTGATCTACAAAACAGTCCTACCAACAAATGCTTTGCTTCCTTCTCAAGGAAACAGAAACAGAAGAAAATCCAAATTACCTCGGTAGTAGAAGAGGCAGTAATTGGAAAGGACAAACCAGCGCCGTTTCCATAGTTTGAGCCCAGAGCTATCCTAAAAGAATCAAAAAGGAACAAATGATGAGTTAGTCGAAAGCTGCGTCAAAGTTTTACTTCAGTAGAACAAGGTTGCCTGATTTTAACTCTCTGTAGGGCCCAGATCAATGGTGAAATTCAACCACATCACACCACCTTGGGAGTGGTGGTAGGGACAATTTGAATCGGTTGGCCCCGCCCACGCACACCTTCTTCCTTTTAGAGACTGAGTCCCACCAATTCACACCCACAGAGCCAAAAGGGGGGGAAAAAATTAATTTCACCCCTGGCCCAGATCCATTACACTTGTACAATGATATCAAGAAAGTCAGGATTGCTTGGTTTTTAAAGGGTGTTAAACCCAATTTAAAACTAGCTACAATTTTAGCATGTTGCCGAACTCAAAAAAGAAAACAACAATACTTCAGCAAAGTACAGGTACTCCTCAGCTTAACATTTACTTACTATTCATTTACACTATTCGTCAACTTACACCCACAACTGAGCCCAAAATGTATGTTCCAAAGTGAGAGATTTGTGAAGCGAGTTTTGCCCAATTTCTTGACACATTTGTTAAATAAATCACCCGCAATTGTTAAATTAGTAAAATGGAGAATCTGGCTTCTCCACTAATTTTGCTTGTCAGAAGATCACAAAAGGAGATTGCATGCTCCCGGGACACTGTGACCATCATAAATGTGAGTCGGTTATCCAATATCCAAATGTAAATCACATGACCATGGGAATGCTGCAATAGTGTGAAAAATGATCACGTCACTTTTTTTCACTGTTATTGTAACTTTGGTCACTAAGCGAACTGTTGTAAGTTGAGGATTACCTGTATTAACCATTTGAAGTAACAATGGCACTGAAAAAAGTGACTTATGACTGTTTTTCACACTTAACGACTGTTGCAGCATCCCCATGGTCATGGGATCAAAATTCGGATGCTTGGCAACTGACTCGTATTTATGATGGTTGCAGTGTCCCACGGTGATTTGATCCCTTTTTGTGACCTTCGGATAAGCAAACTCAATGGGGAAGCCAGATTCACTTATTAATCATGTTATTAACTTAACAACCGGGACAAGATGGGTCGTAAAATGGAGCAGAACTCACTTAACAACTGTCTTGCTTAGAAGCAGAAATGTTGGGCTCAATTGTGGTCCTAAGTCAAGGAGTACCTGTAAATCAATTTTGTGAAAGCTTAGGCTTTAAAACACGAGTGGGCTGCTGGGGGTTCGCGGGGGTTCGGGAAAGCCCCTAGCTAAGATTCTGTGCAGTTAGGAGAACCCCCAAATCCCACTCCTGGCTGGCCCTGCCCACCCCACCTCACCCATCCCAGGAATCCCCCCACGCGGCCCGTTTTGGATGCAGGTATGTGCAGGGGGGCGCGGAGGCTCGGGGAGGCCTAAAAACAGGCCTCCTGGAAGTTTGCGAAGGCCGGAAATGGGCCTGTTTCTTGCTTCCAGAGAGCCTCCGGAGCCTGGGGGGGGCGTTTTTGCCCTCCCAGAAGCTGAAGAAAGCCTCCGGAGCCCAGGGAGGGCAAACCCCTCCCCCGCTGTGGTGCAGGAGGCTAACTAGACCATGCCCACGCCCACCCAGCAACTGGGCAGAGAACCCATTGCTAAAAATTTTGAAGCCCATCCCCGTTTTAAAATAAAAATTACTTAAGTCTTAAAAGGTGCTATCAGATTCCTTCCTTTGGGCTACTTAGATTAACACTGTTTCAGATCTCCCTTAAGGTCCATTATCCTTCAACTAAGAAATCAACATTTCTCAGAAACTGTTTACCTGCTTATAAAGCCAGCCACGCATTATAACGGGAGAGTTAGGATCTCTCTTGATGGAGTTTGCTCTCTTCCCAAATGTGTGCACTTTCCGGACTGGCCGGGCTACATGTGGCTATGGAGAAACAAATGGGTAAATGCAAAATCAACTTACTGTATAAACAGTACACTCTCTGTTGAGTTGTCCATCTGTTTAGCTCAACATTACTGATTTTAAACATAATTCTCCAGAGTTTCAAAGGTGCGGTGGCACAGTGGTTAGAGTGCAGTACTGCAGGCTATTTCTGCTGACTGCTAGCTGCCTGCAATTTGACAGTTCAAATCTCACCAGGCTCAAGGTTGACTCAACCTTCCCTCCTTCCGAGGTGGGTAAAATGAGGACCCAAATTGTTGGGGGCAATAGGCTGACTCTGTAAACTGCTTAGAGAGGGCTGTAAAAGCACCGTGAAGTGCTATATAAGTCTTAAGTGCTATTGCTATTGCTAAAACCTCTATTAAGAAAACCATGTCTCTTTCTCTGGCTTATAGCAGGGAAAAATGGTGTTTTTGCTGCTTTCAAGAAATTTAAAATCTCAAAGTTAAAAATAAAAGGGATGTGTTAATAATGTATTTGAGGGCCAGATGAAAAATCTGAGAAGACAGCATGTGGTCTCTTATGAATAACAACATACTTGCCAAAAGAAGTGAAAAGAACGTGCAGCTATACACTCAGTTACACTAAACTGAGAGTTGGGTGAATCAGGAGAAATCCAAACATAAATGGCAACAATAGGAATATGGTAAAATCAACGGAATGGATGAGTGAGTGAGTGAAATACAGGCAGTCCTCGACTTACAACAGTTCATTTAGTGACTGTTCAAAGTTACAATAGCACTGAAAAAAGTGAGTTATGACCATTTTCCACACTTATGGTTGTTGCAGCATCCCCGTGGTCATGTGAATCAGGTGGTTGACAACTGACTCACATTTATGACGGCTGCAGTGCCCCAGGGTCACGGGATCCCCTTTTGCGATCTTCTGACAAGCAAAGTCAATGGGGAAGCCAGATTGACTTAACAACTGAATTACTAAATTAACCACTGCAGTGATTTGTTTAAGAAATGTTGCAAGGAAGGTCATAAAATGGGGCAAAAATCACTTAACAAATTTTTCACTCAGGAATTTGGGGCTCAGTTGTGGTCATAAGTTGAAGACGACTTGTAATGAAAATGAATGAATGTGGACCGAACATAAAAGTGAATCACTGTAGGAAACATCAAGGAAGTTGGCCACATACAAAGAGCAAATGAGAACTGTATCAGAAAACTTTTTTTTCTTCCTGATGTTTTCCTGCAGGTATAAGGTCTGCTTTTTGGATCAAATGTTGATCCGTTAGTTGCGACCATTAGTGGCGGAAAAGTGAATGGATCAAAAGGAAGTGGAAGAAAGAAAGTTTTGTTTGGGTAAAACTGATAAGATCCTCAAAAGTAGAAGTTCAAAGACTCAAAATGTACAAATGTATGGATGGACTTGATGGATGTCAGTATAGTCTGAAATGTACAATGAATGGTACAAATGGATTTAACTATATTTTGTTTTCCTTCATTACTTCCCTCCATTGTTTTTTACTCATTACTTTTAATTCCTTTTCTGTGCTTTGTATAACGTTACTTAGCCCCAAAGAGAGCATCCTGTTTCTCATAATAAATAATAGATGTTTTAGTTGTTATTAATGCATCATAAGGCTTAAATAAGATTTTTAAACTATTAATGTTTTATCTAGGTACATATGAGACTATTATATTGTGGCTTTATTCATTGAAAAGTCCTTTATCTTTCTAATAAACTAAAGGTCACAAGCTGAGATTTTCTTTTCAAACCATTAAGATACCACCAATGGCTAATGCAGATATATAAGGACAAGAGTAAATATTTGAGGATTAATATTAATATGTTATGCAGCTTTTTAGCTTTCCTTCTTTCTTAGAATGGGATTCTAGTGTTGTTCTTTTAAAAAGCATAAGTGTTTGACCCAAAAGATAACCAATTACTTTGAAGTTCTTTGAAAGCAAGACTGAGTGACAGCCCAACACCACTTAGGAAAACAAATATTAAATGGTAAATGGTAAGTGACTCATTTTTATGTTTCATTTGTCAAGTTCCCACCAATGCCAGGTCCTCACCTTTGTTCCCATGGAGACTGAAGAAATGGTAGCTGTACTGCTGGCTAAACTCAGGCCACTTTTAGGTCGATCCCCTTCTGACATGGTCCCTGGTAAATTTAATGTTAATCTGCAAAAAAACCCAGAAGATTATATTATAAATCTGATGCCTTACAATAGTGTTTCTCAGTGGCAATTTGAGAAAGCATAGACTTCAACTCCCAGAATTCTTCAGCCAGCCATGTTGATTGGGGAATTCTGGGAATTGAAGTCCAAGCAGCTTTAAATGGTCAAGATTGAGAAGGGGAACTCACAAGTCAAGACTCCCAATTCGAAACAATCCATTTTTGAGAAAGATAGAGCATATGTCTTCAGCTTTTCAAAAGATATCAAATTCAACCATCACTGGAGATTTTCAAGAGATTAGATAACTATTTATCTAGAATGGTGTAAGCTCTTCTGCACAAACAGTGGGTTGGACTAGAAGATCTCCAAGGTCCCTTCCAACCTTGTTATTGTATGTAATTCTAACCTTAACCAATCAATTGGTGAATTCATATTTGGTCAGTTCTTTAATCTTTACCTCTCTCTCCTCTTTGTAGACTTTCCTTTCCTTCCTCATTTCTTTTTCCATCTCTTAACAAAAGTGAATTGAGACTCTGTCTAGAGTAATATATTGTCCTAATCCAGGTTTATCAAACAAGCCAGAGTGGCCTACTTCAGGAAATACGAACTCATTTCTCATAACAGCCTTGTAAATGAAGTTTCCAAATCTACAAAAGAATTTATTGGCCGACTGGGATCAGGCAGAAGAGAGATCTAAAGCTCAGGGCTTCTTGCTGAACAGACGTAATGAATCAGAAATTTTTACGCTAACTTCAGACCACAAATGGGAAACAACCTTCTTCCATCAGCCTGATCGTTGAATCTGCCCAGAATTTTTCTGTCACCTATGACAACCACATAATGCTTAAATACAAAACTGGCTTATGATATCTGTAATTAGAACTTCGTCATCCTGAATTCCACCCAAAATCCAATGCAAGACATGGAATTTGGATTCCTGAGTATATCAGCAGTCTTGCTTCTATTGTTTGTTTTTTTTAAAGCCACAAGTTAAATTCTTCCTATTTTTAAAGAAATGTGTCATTGTTCTATTTATTTATTTTATTAGCCATTTTTCAAAAAAACCCAAAGAATATGCATATTCAGTAAATAAATATAATGCTGTCCTTTATATTGATAAGATATTTTTTGTAGAAAATATGCAGGCCAGATTTGCTAACATGTTTTGTTATCCAGATATTTTATTAACAATGCCCTTGGCAGCTTTAGTTAGTTTTTGGGTTTTTTTTTTTAGTTCTGTTAAGCATAGCATGGAATAGGAAAAATCTTGTGCTCTGCTAAGTCTTTATTTCCATTCCACAAACCTAGCACCCCATAAACCTCTATGTCAATTCCATCTCTTCTTCACAATTTAGGTTCCTGAATCATTTTCTTCATATTTACAGCATAATCTTCAGGAACCAACCCTACAATACCCCCCATAGATCAAACTTATGTAAATCTGTATTAACCTGTTTAGTTCCCTTCCCTACTTTATGTTAGAGCAGAAGTTCAAAGCGGGGGGACCAGAATTAAAAGTTAGTAGAAGCAGAAAGCTTTACAAAAATCCAGCCTGCTTTAATTAAAATCCTTTCGTTCATTACTCCATCTAACACATTTATTATGAGTTTTTGCGTGCCCCATTGAATTTTTCTTTTTCTTTTAAATGGAGTCGAAACTCAAAATGAAGTATTGAAACTACAAAAGTTATTCCTCTGTTTGGCCCTCAGCCATTAATTCCCTCTAGTTATTTTTGGATCAAACCCACCTGCTTTGTGTCTGGCATCTCTTTCCAGACAGTATAGACTTGAAGATGGGAAATTCCATCCCTTTCGCTGCCAGCAGAATTCTGTGGTTACTTGTCCCCTTTGTTGTTAAACACCAGAACCTCCACATTTTAAATATCTCAGATTTTAACCCTCACAGGCCAGTTTTAATTCACACTTAGGTGGCATTTTGAGCTTCCTGTTTCTCAGATACCAATAATACTCTTTGTTATTGTTGATTTCCATGCATAATTCATATTTTGTCAAGGGCAAGCGTGATTTAACACCCTAAAGGTCTACTGGGCAGCAATTACAATAATTTTCAAATACCATGGCTCCTGTTTTACAGGAATGCTATTGATGCAAATTATACCTACATTTTAAAAAACTTTAATTATTAGTGAATCCCTAAATGGTTAAGGGAGAACAACATGTGTCCCCTCCTGAACTGCTGTCAAAATGTTAATTTTAATGTGAAAGAAAGAGGTATTAAATAGATAGGAAGCAATTTAATTGTATCAAATTAACTTATTTTTAATTACATTAATATTTAAATCAAACTTTTACAAAACTCAAAACTTTGCCCTGTCCTCCCCAATTTTTGGAGCCCTCCATCCCAGGATGCCACTTAACACCAAATTGCCCAGTGTCTCAATTCCAATATATAATATATGCTAAAATAATTCTGTAAAATCCTGTAAAATTACAGTACAGGTAGTCCTCAATTTACAACAGTTCATTTAGTAAATTACTACTCAAAGTTACAAGGCTATTGAAAAAAAAGAGTTATGACCTTTTTTTATACCTATGACCACTGAAGCATACCCATGGTCACATGATCAAAATTCAGATGCTTGGCAACTGACTTATATTTATAACGGTTGCAGTGTCCCAGGGTCATGTAATCACCTTTTGTGAACATCTGACAAACAAAGTCAATGGAAAAGACAGATTTACTTAACAACCATGTCACTAATTTAATAACTGCACTGATTCACTGCGCCAGGAAAAAGCAAAGGAGCAAAATTTACTTAACATATGTCTCACTTAGCAACAAAAGTTTTGTGCTCAAATGCATTGTAAGTTGAAGACTAGCTGTATTTCTATACAACCATTCAGAAAATCAATTTCACGCAGTAGTTCTAATTCAGGGATCACAAGAGGGAGTGGCAACTTGGTCATTAAGCAACGCGATCACTAAACAAAACCAGGAGTGTGCTTATGACCTTTAGCCTTTCAGATCTGCAAAGGTTGTAAATGAGAAGCACTGGTCATAACATTGCATTTTGATTACCATTGTTACTGTGAATGGTGGCTAAACGATTTCCAAGTGATGATTAACTTATCAAGTATTGGGAGAGAAGACCTGAGCAAATAAGAGTTTAAAACAATCTTAGATGATTGTTAAGTCGAGGACTACTTGTAAACCAATGGGAATTTGCCATCCACCATAACAAGGCAAAGAAGATAACAATGAAGGAAGCATTTTGTGCAAAACTTCTTCCCAACCAGCACTGAGTGGCAAACACATTTTGTCTCATGATCTCCAACCAAAGGGCACCTCCATAACTCCTGGCAAACTTTGCCTTTGCATTCCATCTCTCCCTCCCACCTCTTATCCTGGCTATGACGCCAAGTGGATGAATGGAGCATTGATTCAGGAAAGACCCCCTCTACCCCGCCTTGATCCTGAACAGTAAGGGGAGCACTGAAGGCCCTTATTCAAACACCCACACTGAGTTTGAGGAACGTCATGTTTCTGCCTTCGCCCGGAGCCATAGAGAAAGATGGAATATTTAGCAGATACAATGAGGGAACTGGAAACGAAGCAGCTTGACCTTCCCCAAAATCATGGACCTGGAGAAGAACCATCTTCACAAATGTACCACATGATGCAAAATGCAACATGTTGATAGGTTGCTTCCAAACTTAGTGTTTAGAACCATAAAGTTTAACACGAGAAAGACACTTTATCGCAGTGCAACTAAAAGGGGCGAGCGACGTACAGTGGCTCTTCCCCTTGCATTTAATTTTTTAAAAAATATTTTTTTCTTTATTGAGCAAACAAACACAAACAAAAAAACAGAAAATACATTAAAATATTGGACATGGTACTTAATTGTATATATGGCTATACAATTGTATTTAATTGTATTTTTAATTTTTAACATCCTAATTTGCATTGTTCACTCCTTAGAACGATACTTCATGCTAAATTATCATTGGTTTTACATTTTAAAAGGAGTAAGCCTCAACGGTTGGGTTCGCACTTGATATCGTCAAATGGCTAGTTCATGTATAACAAAAAACTATCACACTTTGACTCAATGCAATGTGTGAATCTAATCAGAAGCTTGCATAGCCATCTGCTTGTTTCCAAATTCAAGGATTTCAAGGTTGAGAACTGACCATGCAAGAAAATATGCCAGCGAATGGTGACAGGTTATATTTTTGGAGCAATCAAAAATTAGGAAAAAAGCCAACTTTGGTGATGAGGCATGATCCCAAGTTGTAATTACTGAAGGTATGATACAATTTTTCAATTTATATCCATCAAGTTTAACATTACTCATCTAAGACTCTAAAAGATGTCAGAACTCCAATTCTCCACGTTCCCAGCCCAATTCTAAAATGTTTAGCAAACACGCAGGCCTTCAGGATTTAGATCAAGGCCTACCATTAAGCCAGGGTTTCTCAACCTCAGTGGCTTTAAAGATGTGGATTTCAACGCTTAGAATTCCTTGGTATGAAACGCTTCCTAGAGAATTCTAGGAGTTGAAGTCCATGCAAATTTCTGAAGTGAGGAAACCGTGCACAAAGCAAAGTTAAGATAGCTGCCGGGAGGATATATGCCACATGGAATGGCCCATGTCTCTTAAATTTGCTTTCCCCCTTCAGATGTAGTTCATTAAAGCGACATTCAACTGCCAAATCAGTCGAATTCTGAACCTGTTTTGCAGCAGCAGAGGCCAGGAAGAGAGGGGACAAAGCCAATCTGTTAAATCTCAAGAGTTTTTTGTAGGCCTTCCAGAGGACACCAGAGATTGGACTCTCCTGCTTGAAATAATCCATTCCACCATGGAGATCCAGTCTAGATGGGAGAAAGCATGCAATTCTCTGTTACTTCCCTTTGTAGAATTAATAAGAATGCTTAGCAAAAATTTAGTATGAAGGACAGGGGTGTCAATAAAAACAGATCATACCAAACTAATCTTATTTCATTCATCAATACAGTGAC